GGCCCCCACCGAGCTTCCCGGTAGGTCGGACCTCGGCCAGGTTCACCTCGACCCTCATACTTAGCATCTGTCAACGCTAGTGGTGGTGATCTCGGCCGTCCGAGCTGGGCATGACTCATGAGTCATCTTGGAGCACCAATAAGGGTCTTCTCCGTGTCCAGGGTATTCTCTTCCCCAAACAACTTTCATCCTTCATTGTAATCAAGGAAAAAAGAATAATCTCAAACCTTTTTTCTAATGAAATTGAAATTGAGTAGGAAGTAATTGATTAATGTTAATTAAAAGTAATTAATTGGTGGAATAATAAACAGGACTTGGCGCTGGCGACATTGTTAATGAGAGTAGTGCCATTGTTCAGCGAAGAAGACATGTGCAACGAATTGAAGCTGACGGAGGAAAATTACGGGTCGGTCAAACGGGTATTCGTCATGTCGGAAAAAGTTCTGGTTGGAAACAGGGATTATCAACGGTGGATGATTGAGGAGAACCCACCTGATCGTGTGGTCGAGATCGAAGGCTCCGATCACATGGTCATGATCTCCAAGCCTTTACAGCTGTGGGCCCATCTCGAATACATCGCCCAACACTACTGACCACTCTTAGCTTAATCCGACATGTCGTTTCTTCAACTCCACATCACACATGTATAGTGTATGGTTATTATGCTTACGCAACATTTTCGAAAACTAATAGTAATAATAATAACAACGTTTAAAACTAATAGTAATAATAATGTTTAAATACTACTCTCAGGTGGAGGGTTCAAACTCTCGAACTAAAAAAATGTTTAAATATTATTTTGATCTTTATACTTTTTTTTTTCGTCTTGAATCTTATATTTTCAAAATTTTTATTTTTGTTTGTGTGTTTTAAACTTTTGTTTATTTTTATTTGATCCAAGAATTTGACTAAGTTAATGAAAGTCGACTTAGACAAGCTGCAAATAAAGTAAGTGACGCTCAAGTTAGTAGTTGGTCGATCATTACTCGGAGAGAATATAGGTGTGCGTATATGAAAATGAGGTGGGTGGTCTCTATTCATAGGTTCGACTTTTGATATAACCTCCAACGAACTTTTAACGGCTCTTAGATAGTCCGTTGGACAATTCTGTTTGAGGTTTGTTCCTGTAGAAGTTAGCAAAGATCAACTTGGTTGATAACTCAAGCAACTAAGGTATGAGTTATTGGTCGGCTCGACTAATAACTCAGGCGGTTGAGAAATGAGATTATGATCGGCTTGGCATGAAACATGATTCGGGACCGTCTCCTATAGTTCGGCTCGACCTTTGTGAAGGTTCAAGCTACAATTTCTTTCATGTGCGAGTCATCATGCTGACTTGTCATTGTTGTTTTATAAGATGACAACACGTGGCTGGTGAGAAATCACCTCCAACAACTTTAGTTCCTATTTGTAGAATTTTAAGTCAAAATTTATGCATGATACAAACCCTTTAATATAAGTTTATGGCTACATTTCAAGAAATTTTGTGAATGATGTGTCATGCTAAAATTATGATAAAAATAAATGAGATAAAAATAAAAATTAATGGACCAAATTTGTTATTTTTAAAAAAGTAGGGGACTAAAATGAATAAAATTTTAAAATACATGGGCCAAAATTGACATATTGAAAATATAAAGATTAAAATGAACAAAAAAAAAGTGTTTAAATCTTAGTAACAATAATATAGTATTCTCTAGACGTGGGATTTTAATATAAATCGATATCTATAAACTAGGGGAAGGTCATTATTTATAAAGAGATGATACTATCTATATTGGTATTATATCTTTAGATGAAATAATAAAAGTAAAGTCATTAAAATTTATAATTAAAGTGGATAACATCATGGAAAAATTAGACAGGGTCTTACCGTTCGGACATATTATAGATTAAATATACTCGAGCACAAATTAAAGCTTGGAATAAAAGTTAAGAGGAAGTTCGAGTAAAGACACTGCGTCTGGGGAGCTTGGTGTCAGATGTCATTATTCTAAATATGTAATCTGTGGGAGAAAAAAAAAACTGATCGATTTCCCATTTCATTTCAAGAGAATTAACTCTTGTTGATGCTAGAATTCTGCCTCTTAGATCTCCTAGATCTCGCCGAATTCGAACCAATCTTTTAGAACGAAGGGATTGATGAGACCTGCAAGCCACATCTGACTCTGATGCCTAAGTTAGTATCAGAGTAGTCGAGTATAAAGAGTAGGGTTGTTTGGCATACCTCTAGAGTTTAGCTTACCCCTGTATTTGTAGAGGTCGAATCCTAATCCTTTCAAGACTTACATTAGTTGAACCCTAATCATTTCAGGGTTTACATTAGTCAAATCCTTGTGCACTCAGGAGATCTTAAACGGAGTGGGCCTCATGCTATATTATTCAGGACCGACACCAAGTCGATCTGGGCTTGCACGGGGGTCGGGTTCACTGGAGAGGTTCTCAGCCACTGGGTCGAGAACCCCTTGGCACCGAGGCTTGGTAGGCGCCGACCTCGGGTCGGCTACGGCCGGCCTGGGTCGTCGGGCCCCGACCCGCTTACTGGGTCCGCTCCTTCTTCGGCTCTCTTTCCTCTTTTCTGTTGGTTAGGTTGATCTTTATTTTCTCCCTATAGCAACTCTTAAGAAGCGGAAGCGTACCTTGATCCATAATTGAATGTCGATTGACGGGTTTGATCTTCCAAATCTAGATGAATCACGTTTTTTCCTCTGGTTTTACTTTTGTAAATTCGTAGAATACGAAAAAGATTCTCTTTTAATGGATGAGAGAAACTAACCTGAAGGATATCTGACTTGAAGTCCATAACCCCTATGTAACCTATCAAAAATCACAGTTCGGTTACAACATTTTGATATTTTCAATTTGGTCCCTCATCAAATTGGAAATTATTTCATGGTATCTATACATTTTGCCCATAGTCATCTTATAATTACTCCGTTAAACCAAAACTTACACATAATTAAATCTAAATCACTTATCTTGGTCTAATTAAATAACAAAAACACATTAAATTAATACATGTGCGATCTCATATTATTGAAAATTCCAACATAATCCACCCATTGAAATGCCATATCTATTAGTGAGTAATATTTTTGGACGAACACCATATATTTTCTTATTAGAAGAACCTTGAGCTAAAGCAACTTGCAAAGATTTTGAAGATTTATTTCGAAAAAAAAAATGGCTAGGCCTATTATTCTACTATTTATATAATATTTATTAACATGGTGGAACCTACAAATCTTAAAAAAGATATAATTGTTGCCCAAGGCCCCACATTGAGTAAAACTATATTAATTTTTTGTGCATTTTTTTTCTTTTTAGTTACTTTTCAATTATAACTAAGAACCTTTGAATTTTACAACAGTTACTCTTTATTAGACCTTTAAATTATAGTTTAGTGAAGATTTAAAGTAACTTTGAGTATATAGCACTAGACTACAATAATCATTTCCTTAAAATTATAACTTATTCCAATTATTTTTTAACAATTTTCTTAGTCAAAATAGTCAATTTTGACTCCATGTGAAAGTGGACCTAAGAAAATTTTATTTTTTTAAATATTATTTCAATAAACGGTATTTTCTATAATAATAATAAGTCTCTTTCTATATACAATAAACAAAAAAAAAATGTACTCTTTATGGTTTAATTTAGAGAATTTTATCTGCATGTTATATGTTTAAAACAATATTGTTTTTTTTTAATAATTTTTTAGTTCAACGGAGAAAAAATAGTTATGTTTTTCATTATTTGGCTAATTTTTACAAGCAAACAACATTTTATATAAAACCATTTACTAAATCATGTGAATTTTTAACGCACATATAGATTATCAATTGTTAATAAAAATAGTAATTTACATCACAGTTTTTAATTTACTTATTAAAAAAGTAGTTTATTGGCATAAAAAATGATGAACTACAAGTCTACATGCTATTGTTAAATTGTTAATTACTAATTTACTTTGCTTTTCTTTTTTTTGTAATCCCGTGATTCGTCTGCTAGATTTTTTATTTATTTTAAAAAACTCGTAATCTCTTTTTTTTTTAATTGATCGGTTTATTGTTTGACATTAATTATCTAATTAAACTGTAACTAAAAAGTATGGTAAAAGTTAACATATCATTAACTTTTTGTAAATTATTCAAACATAGGGATGACTAAATGTTTATAGGAACAAATATTATTCAAAGTTACTTCCTAGTTTAAACAGTAATATGTTTTGCAAATCTCATAAACTACATCTACTCATTTTTGTATTTTTTTAATGAAAGCCTAATAAGAACAAAAACAACATAAATATGCTGTCTCGAATATGATTTAACTAGACAATTGAAAGATAAATAATGTCTTTTGAAAAAGTCATAGGTTTAAATCTATCGACTATCATGTTGTTTAAACTTTAAAAAAAGTGAAAGAATAAAAGCTTTTCTCGAAATTAAATTTATATAAAGTTACATGACAGTAACACGTCAGGTGTGTTCCATTGACCTAATATTACCTAACTTTTAAAGCAAAATTTAATAACCTTCCTTTAAAGAGAACGATACTTTTTTTTAGTTCGACAACGTGTATAGGTAAAGATTTGAAGCACGTTCGTTGAATCATGTTCAGGTTAGCGAAAGACTAAATCGTCATGTTCGGGTTAGCGAAAGGCTAAAAAATTAGTAGGAGAACTCTTTCATGAGGGGTAGGATGATAATTTTACTTCTCATCTATAACAATATAGATTTGTATCTAGTTTTATCAATACAAAGTTATTTGAACTATAAGTTTTATTTTAGTTTTAATTTTAAATTGTACAATATTTCTATTAGAGAAAAAAACGTATATATATATCTGTAACAAATTTAGGATAAGATCTGGGATTATGGGGTTGCTGGAATTATTGAGAAATGACGATAGATAAAACTAAGAAATTACTCCAAAATGACAATGAGAATATTTCCAATATAACTTAAATACAAAAAAGAGAAAAGAAAACTAAAAAAGAGAAAAGAAAAGAAAAATTTTCACGCTAACTTCTCCGGGAGAGAGCGAACATCGCGACCGCCGACGACGACGGAGGATGGAGATTTAGGGGTAAAATCCGACGAACGGAATCGGAACCCGAGGATTTGCCGGCGGCGGCCGGTGCGGCGGCTGAGACTCCTGGTGCATGACCTCGCCGACGGATTCGGCGACGACTACGACAAAATTGATGGCCATTCTCAGCAGCTCCAAGCAGAGTTCCAGTCTCTGAATCGCCATGGCCGCCCAATTTTACAACAAATTCGCTGTTTCGTGATTTGAGATTTCTAGGGCTTTTTCTTTTCTGTCAAATTTCCGCGTCGCTCTGGTTTTTTTTATTTCGAGCAATTTCTAGGTCGTCTTCTTTACCCCCTCTCTCTCTGTATTTATAGTCAGCTCACAAAAGAGGGGCACGA